CTGGGCCGCCGCCGCCCGCGCCGCCGCCGCCACATTCCAGCACAGCAAGCCCCGCCCACCTCCCACACGAGACCCCGCCCACCCGCAGCCACGCCCCTCTCCGCATGTAGCCCCGCCCACACAGTGCCACATTAAACCACGCCCACCCCTGACCCCGCCCTCTCGCTGCCGGTGGGCGGGGCCAAGTGTGAGCGCACGCTTATGCACCAACGCCCCAACCCCACCAGAGGGCGCCACTACCACCCTCAAAAACACCCAAAAAATGTCACTTTTTGTCACCATTTATCCAATTTTATTAATTCCAGTGGCACTAATACAGGCGGCGATGGGCACGACGGACAGTCACGCTGCAGATAAGGCATCCTCACCCCCTCTCTTTCTCTYCCCGTTTTCCTCGTCCTCATTTTCGATTTAAGCACGCCCCCCCAGGGCCATTCTGCAGCAGATTCTTTTTTTTTTTTTGAGTCAAATAAATACAGAGAATTGGGCAGATCTAGTGGAAATGTTTTAGTTACAATGGCAAAGATGAGTCATGTGCAACACAGAAACCTATAAGGCTTTTTTTTTTCTTTTTTTTTTTTTTTTTTGTCGTTTGCTTTCCTCATTTGAAGTTCTCAAAATCGCTATGAAACCCATTAATTAACAAGATGGTGGTCACAGGGCGTCTACCCCCTCGGCATGGGTGATAACGCTAATTGAATTAATTTTTTCCTGTTCTCCCAGAGTTCCATGAGTTTCATTAGAGTTTGTCCAGGAAGTTGTCGAGGGCGGGGATTCCTTCCTTGAGCCCTTTGCGTTTGCGGGTCTCGGCCACCACTTGGCAGGGTCTGCTGGCGCTGTCGAAGGGGTCCCCGGGCAGGATCTGCCAGTGGTCAAACACACACTGGGGGAAGGCCTGGCCTCCCGTGTTGGACCTCAAATCTGCTGTGAAACCTGGCAGGGACAAGAGAAAAGKTGAGGTGGGACAGCAATGAGGGCGGTTCAATGTCATTTCCGTGCTGGCATGGATAGAACAGAGGAACCCAGAGTGGCACCCAAAAGCCTCCTGAGATCCCGACCAATGAGATGGGGATGGAAAAAAGGCTCCAGGAAAACCTTCTGGAACTGCCTGAAGTCCCTGSAGARGGACTTGGGACAAGGACATGAAGGGACAGGACAAAGAGGAATGGCTTCCCACTGCCAGAGGGCAGGGTAAGATGGGATATTGGGAGGAAATGTTTTAGGATGAGAGTGGGGAGGTCTGGGGAGATCCCTGAAGTGTCCAAGGCCAGGCTGGACAGGGCTTGGAGAACCTTGGGATAGTGGAAGGTGTCCCTGCCCATGGTAGGGGAAGGCAWGAAATGACCTTGGAAGGTCCCTTCCAATCCAGGATGTTCTGCAACCTTGGTCTCTTCTCCCAGGTGATAAGAGACAGGAGAGGAAACACTCTCAAGTTGTGCCATGGGAAGTTTGGAGATGAGGAAATGTTTCTCCTCCAAAAGGGTCGTCAAGCATTGGCACAACTGCCCAGGGCAGCATTGGGATCCCCATCCCTGGAGGGATTTCAAAGCMRTGTGGCACTTGGGGACAYRGTTCAGTGGTGGCCTTGGCAGCGCTGGGTGAACCCCTCAAGGATCTCTTGAGCTCTTTCCCAAATCTCTCCCTCTCGCTCCAGGACTCACCAAATGACTCGTTGACAGGCAGGTARGCCTTGACCACAAACATGGGGGTCCCGGCCACCTGGGTCTCCTCGAACACATGGCCACGCTTCCTGTTCAGCACCCCATAGATGCCTCCRACCACCTGCTCCGGGCACTGCAAGAGACACAGAACTCAGAACTGCACCCACCCGACCTTCCCCCATCCCATGGGGCCGGCAGGGGCTCTCACCTGGATCTCCACCAGGTAGATGGGCTCCATCAGGCGGGGCTGGGCGGTGAGCACGCAGGCGTACAGGCAGCGCCGGGCCGTGGGGATGATCTGGCCCCCGCCGCGGTGGATGGCRTCGGCGTGCAGGGTCACGTCGTGCACGTCGAAACGCACGGCGCGCATGTTCTCCTCACACAGCACACCCTGCCAGGGCACAGAGAGCTCAGGGAACATGATCCTGGCACAGGCAGTGTTCTGTTCCCAGTGCTCACAGAGCTCCATGGAGCAGCCCACCAAGGAGCCACTTAACCTCCTTTCTGCCAGTTGAACCCTCACACCTAGAAAGGTTCAACTTTTAGAGGTCTTTCCCAACCTAAGAACTCTGTGAAGCACCACCTCCCACCTCTGGGCCATCACTGCAGCATCCTCCTCATCAGCTCTGAGGTTCAAGCCACCAGAGCTGACCATAAATCACAAATTTATGGTTCTGCACCCAAGAATTTGGCATGGGGAAATAACAATCCTTTGTGCCTGAACTGCTACAAGATCTCCACTCCACCAAGTTTTATTGCTGTGAATGTTTTGCAATCGTGATAATTTTTCCAAATGAAAATGAGGACCTGCAGAGCCACGAACACCACCCAGCCCAAGATTCCCCTCACCTCCTTGGTGGCCCACTGGAAGCCAGCCACCACGCTGTCCTTGATCTCGTTGAGGTACTGCACTCCCTTGGTGATGTCGGTGAGGATGTTGGGGCCGGTGCCATCGGGCCCGAAGCACCAGATTTTCCTGGCCTCGGTGACGTCCCACTCGTATTTCTCAGCCAGGTACCGCGCCCGCTGCTTCAGCTCCTGCCGGGCCGACACCTCGCCCTTGTCGATGTCCTCGGCCAGGCCGTCGGGGAAGGGCCGGGCCTTCATGTACAGCCGGTTGTGTTTGTTGGGGGACTTGGAAAGGCACATCACGTTGGACTCCTCRCTGACYGTCTCGCGGTAGGACACGACGGGGTCTGATTTCTGTAGGGGTAGAGAGGGGCTGTGAGGCACCAAACGCAGGCAAACCCAAACACAGCCATACCCAGTCAAACGCAGCCAAACACAGCCATACCCAGTCAAATCCAGTCAAATCCAGTCAAAACCAGGCAAACCCAGGCAAACCCAGCTAAACCCAGTCAAACACAGCCATACCCAGTCAAACCCAGTCAAACCCAGGCAAACCCAGCTAAACCCAGGCAAATCCAGCCATACCCAGCCAAACCCAGGCAAACCCAGTCAAACACAGCCATACCCAGTCAAACCCAGCTAAACCCAGACAAACCAGGCAAACCCAGCCATACCCAGGCAAACCCAGCCATACCCAGGCAAACCCAGCCATACCCAGGCAAACCCAGCCATACCCAGGCAAACCCAGCCAAACCCAGGCAAACCCAGGCAAATCCAGTCAAACCCAGGCAAACCCAGCCATACCCAGGCAAACCCAGCCATACCCAGCCAAACCCAGTTAAACCCAGCCATAACTACCCAAACCCAGCCAAACCCCACACCGAGCTCAGCAGCTCCTCAGCCTCTGTACCTTAATGGGGATGCAGGCGTGGTCCTCCTCCAGGTCCTTCAGGCAGATCTCCAGGTGCAGCTCCCCAGCACCAGCAATGATGTGCTCCCCGGATTCCTCAATGATGCACTGCAAACACCATGACAGCATGTGAGGCTTCACAACAAACCCCGGCCAGAAACACCAGCAACACTCTGATTTTTGTGTTTAACCCACAGAGCCACTTCCAAATGTTCTTCCCACTGCTCTGGGGGTGTCACAGCACCAACCCAGCGTGCAAGGCAGCACTTTGGCAGGGCTGGGACTGACACTCAACTCAAGTCTTTCCAGACTGGTCATCCTTGTCCCTGCAGCCATTTCAGCCACTCACCTGCACCATGGGGTCAGATTTGGCCAGACGTTTCAGCCCCTCCACCAGTTTGGGCAGGTCGGCCGGGTTCTTGGCCTCCACGGCCACGCGCACCACGGGGCTGACGCTGAACTTCATGACCCTCATGTTGTGGGCGTGCTCGAAGGTGGTGATGGTTCCAGTYTTCACCAGGAACTGGTCCACGCCAACCAGCCCCACGATGTTTCCACAAGGCACGTCCTCAATGGGCTCCACGTAGCGGCCCATCATGAGAATGGTCCTAATGAGGGAAAAATTGGGTTAATGAGGTTGGAAAAGGGAGGAGATCCTATTAGGCAGCATCCTGGAGCTCAGCAGGACACCTGACACCCACACCCCATCCAGGACACACCTTTGAATTGGCTTCAGGTACAGATCCTCCTTCTTGCCAGGTGTGTAGTTTGGTCCCATGATTCTGACTTTCAAGCCAGTTGAGACCAGACCGGAGAAGACACGGCCAAAAGCGTAGAATCGTCCCTTGTCAGAGGTTGGCACCATTTTGGAGATGTACATCATCAGGGGGCCTTTGGGGTCACAGTTCTTAATGCCTGTGAGGGAGAGACACCAGCTTAGCACTGAGTTATTGAAGGATCTGGCACCCACCCCAAAACCCAAACCTGAGACCTGCACCCACTGTCCCAGCCCYGGGATTTCTGTCCAGACAGGCCAGAGAGGAAATGGGAAATGGTTTCCCACTGCCACAGGACAGAGTTGGGTGGGATACTGGGAAGGAATTGGATCCTGAGAGGGTGGGAGGCCCTGGAATAGAATTCCCAGGGAAGCTGTGGCTGCCCCTGGATCCCTGGMAGTGCCCAAGGCCAGGCTGGACATTGGGGCTTGGAGCACCATGGGATGGTGGAAGGGGGTAGGACAGGGTGACTTTCAAGATCCCTTCCAACCCAACCAATTCTGTRATTCCATGAAAGATCACATCACCCAGGGATGTTTTCAACAAATCCAGGCTCCACTGGAACCTCAGGTTGCTCCAGAGGCTACTAAATCTGTTCGATCCACGCTAGAAAAGCTCCAGACTCAAGAATTCCAGCCACTCCCGAGCTGTGCACACCAAGAACAAGATCAGCACAGCAGCAGCTCCTCCTACCTATGGCAGCCTCATCGTCRGGGGGGCCCTCGTAGAGCAGCTCGCAGCGATACTTCTGGGCTGTGACGGGGGAAGGCAGGTGGATGGTGATCATCTGCAGCAGGGCATCTCCAGCTGGCAGCCACCGCCTCATCACGGCCTGGGCAGAGCAGCAGGACCCAGTCAGAGTGTTCACAA